ATTAGATTAGATAGACTAGACTAGATAGATAGGATACGATGAGTATAGTAGATAGGGATAGTAGATAGATACGATAGTAGATAGATAGATAGCTGACTTGACTTGCATAGAATAGATAGAACAGTTAGAATAGACTGATTGCATAGATAGACTAGATAGATAGATAGACCTAGATAGAAGATAGGATAGATAGATAGATAGATAGATGACAGATAGATGATTAGACAGTAGATGACTAGACCTAGATAGATAGATAGATAGATACGATAGATGATAGAGTAGATTAGATAGACTTATGATAGACTAGATAGATAGCATAGTATAGACTAGACTGATTGATTGATTGATTGATAGATAGACTAGACAGTTAGATGGAAGATTTAATTAGACTGATTGATTGATAGATAGATAGATAGATAGATAGATAGAAGATAGCATAGATAGATAGATAGAGTAGATAGATGATAGAAATAGATAGTAAGATAGGCAGAAGATATGAAATCTTAAAAATGGTGTTTATCAAGCATTTAAGATTCAAGAGCCCTTTATTTATCCCGGCAGGCGAAATTACTGCCTGCAACCAGTTACAATACAAAGGTGGGCGAAAAGCAATACAGGTTAGGCAGTAAAAAATACAATCGATCATAAAAATAAATCAACAAATTAACGTAATGCACAAAAGTGCAAGCACTTACAGGTAAACCATAAGCTAGCAAAAAAGAACAAATGCAAACAGAATTGCAATTAAACGTAGGTATCTATACAAATATACACAATACACACCGTGCAATTTTATAGCAGGCATAAATTGAAATAAAATATACAGTACAAAAATAAGGTAGATAAGGGAGCAGTTGGATAAAGGTTCAGGTGAGACAGTGAGTAACATTGCTAGCAGCATTTGTCGAACTCAGCATATAGCGGGGGCGGAGGGGATGTATCCTTTAATAGTCCCAAATGGGGAAATCTCCCATCTTCAGCAGCAAAGTGGATAGAGAGAAAAACAGTATAAAGACAGTATAAGAACAGTACATGAAACATGAAATAGAGTATGAAAAAATAATATAATATAATATTTATTATATATATTTATTAAGAGCTTGTTTTCCTGTCGCACATACTGCATCAAAATACAAAACACTTTATTTTAAGTTCCCCTATTTATTGTATGAACATGTAATAAATGGTTTCTGATGCATTATAATGTTATTTTAAGCAGATATTATTATTTATTAATGTGTTTGTCAACTCTTCCTGTGGTTACCCATAAGTGTATAACAGATAATTCATGTTAACACAGTAAAAAGCCGCTTTAATAATATAAAATATGTCCCTATATCTGCTTAAAACTACAATACAGTGCAAAATAAATAATAATAAATATATTTAATGTACAAACACTGCATATAGATACAAAATAAACATTTACTTATTTTATATAAAACATATTCAATGTGATCTGGCACCTTTTATATGTAAATAAAACACACATACATCATACAGGTGTGTGTGTGTGTGTAAGACAGAGAAAGTAGATCTGTGCAAGAAAGTAAAAACAGTCCTATTAAATACCACATTCTTGTTCCACTGTGATTTATATATTTTACATACAAACTATATTGCACACAAGAGGATTGCGATTGTTTTGACCAGTGACCACCTTCTCTTACTGTTTTTCTCCCTTTTCCTCTCCCCAGGCTGAATTTTCTCCAGATGGGCCCGACGTGGGCTACGGCTCCTTCCACCAGCAATACTGGCTGGACGGGCGCATCGTGGCGGTGGGGGTGATCGACATCCTGCCTACCTGTGTGTCCTCTGTCTACCTGTACTACCACCCAGACTTTGCCTCACTGTCTCTGGGCTCCTACTCTGCTCTCAGGTCGGTTGCTACGACTTAGACCAGCCACGTCATCCCTTTTCTGTTGTTTTGAAATCCAGCTTATAATTATCGTAAACATATTAGACAATGGGGGGAATGATTGGTAGCCCCATAGGGATATCAGGGATAATGTCAGTGCTCATGTTTCATAAAAAATCAGGACCATATTTCATAAAGAAGACAAAGAAAGAAAGAAAGAAGTCACAAAAAAGATGCTGCAGTTTGCTCAGATTGCTATTAAAAAAAGAATTCCCCCTTCAAATGTAACTCGTAACATTGGGTTAATGCAAAATGCGAATTGTGATGTTGAGGGAAGTAAAACTTTGGCAATATCCACATTATTGTCAGTAACTATACTGTTTCTTTTAAATGGACGAGGAATTGCTCTGCCTCTCATTGGTGACCATTCCCTTCTTTGTTCTGTCTTTTATGCTTCCTCCCTTTTCATTCCCTACCATGTCCTCCTCTTAACCTGCTCTCTCCCTGACTCTTGATTTCTCTGGCTCCTCCCAAATTTTTATCTTTCCTTAGAACAGTATACTTTAAGTTCCATAATGCTGTAGGTTGGGAAAAGTACCTCTTTTTTCGCACTTGATTGGTTGAGGCAGTGCTCCGTTTGTGGTTCAGCTGACGACAGTTCTCTCTGCCAAGATGAAATAAGAGAACAGACATACACTACAGGCGCACATATCTGGAGTTTCCTGTAAAATGTAACCCAATAATGTGAGAAAGGCTTTTTAAAATATTTCTGCACAGATGTGGGAGACTGGGTGATCTGGGCTTCAAAGTTGGTGTGTACAGGTGTTAGTGTGTGTGTGTGTGTGTGTGTGTGTGTGTATAGAGTCAGCCCTTCAGTTAGGACAGACAGGCTCTGCTCATATAGAGGGAACACCCTGGTCATCATAAGACACCCATCACTTATTATTTTAAGAGTCTGACTCCAAGAGTAACACAGAGTGCTCGGTGTGTGGAGGAGGCCTTGGAGGAGGGAGCCAGCGGGACTAAAATCCTCCCGCTTGTTTACAGACACCAGAGCCCAGGCCTTTGATCAGGTCTGGACACTCCCTAGTCTGCTTGGCCTGGCTGACTTTGTCCAAAACTTACTGTACAGAATGCATGTACACACACGCTCCCACGCACACACTTTAAAACCTTTAAAACTGGCTTTTTCCTAGTAACAAAAAGGTAATGGAAAGGTTATGGAAAGCCAAGGAAAGGTTTTGGAATTTGAAGTAATTCAGTGGGAACCTTGAGTTGTTGGACATATATGCCCCTGTCATCATCTAGGAAAACAGGTGTAGAGTTTGGATTCACTTTACAGTTGTGGTTAAATGTGTATGTTAGGCATAACAAAGGTACAAAAAAACAGCACGGTGTGTATGTTGGTCTTCTGTATGTTAGTATGTGTATACATGTGATTCAGCAGTAGAAACAGGAGAGGGGGATGTTGAGAAATATCTTGCAGGAGTGTAGCTCTTTCTGCCACAGGCCCTGTGGACAGAAGGAGGAGGAGGAGAAGTAAAGAGGCATATAATGAGGTGCCTGAGGCACTGTGTGTAGGAAACACAGCTGGTGTCCAACCTGGATCACTTTCTTATGGGGATGTCCTGATTATGTTGTGTTGGCCCTGATCTTGATCCAAGTCCAGTATTCGCTGAAACAGCATCTAATACAGTTTTTATATAGTTAATAATACATAATTGCAATAATTGCAGAACATTAAGATAAGTAGAACTATTTAGATGTTGGATGGCTTTTGTAATAAATGTAATCTGCATTACAACTTTCAAATTAAAAAATCATGTTTTGTATTTGTCCTGTAGTGTTGTGTATCATTTTTAAAGAAAGGAATGCAGAATGAAAACCAATACTTTAGAGGTGTGTTGCACCTGCAAAGTGTAGGTCCAAAGAGAGAGAACAACTGAGAGATTGGAAGTAGATCAGCCTTCACATAGATAACACTGATACATCAAAAGAGGCCTGCAGACCGGCTTGGGACATCCCTTGTTTTTTATATACATATATATATACTGTACATATACTGTTTATACTGTGTGATTTCAGGTTAATTTCCTTGCTCATTTCCTCATTTCATCACTAGTAGCTCAGTCTGCATTTTACATCTGGCTAATCAACACTATTATTGCAGTGTTGGGTAATGAAATGTTTCCGCATGCATGCGAGGCTGCAGTCCGCACCTCATGGCATGCACTATTATGGACCCTTTGTGTCTGGTTGTGTGTGTGTATGCACATCAGTATGAGGGAAGCTGTGCAGGAGCATAGGGCTTGATAATTGGCTTGTGCTGGAGTGTCAGATGGTTGAAGAGGGGATAATGGCGGACTCAAGCTCCTGCCATGGGGTGGAGGTGGGGGTGTGAAGGCCTCAAGTGAAGGGTTGGGGGGGTGCAGAGCTTTTTGTGAATGGGCCCCTCGCCTCTCTTGACCCCCCTCCCCCAATTCAGGCTTGCCGGGTGCTTTTGTGGAGAGGGGATGGGAACCCAGGAACCTGGCAGCAAGCGGGTGACCTTCTAGCACCTCGCTCTAGCTGCTTCTCTTCTCCCTCCCTTTCTCTTTCTTGACCCTCCTCTTTTATATTCTCCTCCTGCTCTCTCTCTCCCTGCCCCCCCTCCCTCCCTGGCTTGGCCTGCTTTGTCCCATGTCTTATTTTTCAGTGCATCTATTTTATTTTAAGGCCTCTTTCTCTCTCTTTTAAGTATTGTAAGAAAGGGAATTCTCCCCCTTCATTTAAGCGGGTGAAACACAGAGGGTGGAAGGAAGAGAGAAACAAAAAGGGAGAAGAAAGAGGAGCTGGAATTTAGTTATGGAATAGTGAAGGAAACGGCAGAGGGAAAGGGGAAAATAGGCTTTTAGAAAAAGGATGCAATTAAGGAAGAAACTATTGGGGAAAAATAAAGCAGGCAAGACATTTACTGTATTTGAAGAAGCAGTATAAATCTTCCAAGTTCTAAATCTTTATTTTACACGCTCTCTCCCTCTTTTTTCACCACCTTCTTTTCTGCTCGAGGACTCAATGCCGATAGAGAGAAGGCAGTTGTTTTTGTGTAATGAAATGAGACCAAGAAAAGCTGCCTTTTTGAGTGTGGGTGTTTACTTCCTCAGCTAAGGCACTGCTCTTGTCAGAGCTGCTAGTACCAATTTTATTTGTTAATGCCCTATTTATATGCTCTAGATATACAAACCTTTAAGAAAAACAAACTTTAATGTAGTTGCTGTATATTTGTATTATAATACTTAATAGGTATTGTAGTATTAATTAATCTAATTACTCATACTCAATAAAGTACTCAATATTTTGATGGATTTAATTGACGCCCACGTCGCTGTGTAGCGTCAAACATGATTACAGTCTGATTGTACCATCTGAAATTGAGAACACTGCGCACTGCAGTGCAGCATCTCCAACCAGGATCAGCTGAAAAAGTTGTGCTGGAGTGAGCATCATTGTAAGAAGCAGTAACACCAAACTGCATGCGCATGTGCTGTTTCTAAAAGCATGAAGCCCGAGCGTTTCCTTACCTCTCTGAAAAGGTGTGTCTGTGTTTCCTGCTACAGGGAGATCGCTTTCACCAGGCAGCTGCAGAAACAATCCCCCAAGCTATCCTACTACTACCTGGGCTTTTACATTCACTCCTGTCCAAAGATGCGGTATAAGGTATGCGTTGTTTCACACTGACACGAACAACACGTTTCTCATGTTTTTCACCTTTTGTATGAACAGAATCTCTATATAAAAAACATTTAATGACTCAAATGCAAAAATGTTTACATGGTAAAACATATTTTAATATTTAAACTGTTTGGCACGGCGAGGGACTGTTACTATATACTATATATATACTGGATTGTCCTAGTTTGACCTAGATTGTCCAGTTTCTGTAAACTTTCAGTAAAATGGGTAATGATAACCAGTTTTAATGGATACACAGCATTCAGCTCAGTGATGCTGTGTTTTCATTCTTTGTTTATTATATTTCACTTAAAGTGTGAATTTTTTGCCCTGCTCCCCAAAATGCCACAATGATATATGACTAACATTTTGATGTGCAAGCCCATTTCGCATGAGACAAATGTTTCTGCTGTACCAGTTTGGTCTTTTAATGTTTCATACTGAGCCTCAGTCCCGCAGCATCTCTCTGCACTGTACCGTTATTATGTGTGGAGGACGGATGGTAAAGCAGTGAAGTTCAACTGTTTTATGGGCACATCAGGATGATGTGGCAGTGTCAATTTCAAGATATGTGCTGATCTCTCCTGCTACACTATTTACATCTCTCTCTCTCTTTTCTTTCTTCTTTCTTTCTTCTTTCTTTCTTCTTCTTTCTTTCTTTCTCTCTCTCTTCTCTCTCTCGGTCCTTCCTTCTCTCTCTCTCTCGTCTCTCTCTTCTCTCTCTCTCTCTCTCTCTCTGTCTCTCTGTCTTTCCGCCTCCTCTCTTAACTGCTACTCACCTCTCAGGCCAGTGACCAAAGTGGTTTGCTCCTCTGATTGCTTTTGCATAATGTAGGTTTCTATCTTCCTGAGAGGCACTGAATGTCCCAACTGCCTGCTTATAAAGGAAGGAAGACCAGCCCCCCTCTTTTTACTCCTCTACTTCTGTTATTATAGGTGCAAAGACCTCAACAGGGGCCTACCTATGTGCTTTTCTCTCTAATTTCCACTTGAATCCTGGCACCTGCTTTGCTTTTTCATTTATTACAGTTTGGATTTTGCTGTTCACAAGTCTATCCAGCTTCAGGACACACATCAGATCTGTCAGAGATCCTTTGTTGCCATCAAGATAACATGAACATTCAAATGCATTATACACTCAAATGCACATGGAAAAGTTATTAAGCCTAAACAGCTGATTCATATATACAGACATAGATGGAGAGTGTGAGAGAAAAAAACAGGGACAGAGGGGAGGTAGAGGCAAGGAAGAGAGGACGAGGCTGCTGAAGACATTAAAGGTTGAGAGAGAGGTCACACTGGTGACAGTAACTGTAACTCAGCAGCAAGAAGTATGCGACACACATGCACAGATATATGCAGATTTTGTGAAGTGCAGTTGCTGCACCGTGGAAACATTTACACAAATGCATACTGTATATGCACGCACATGCACACAGCAGAAACTGCTCACAAATATGTTCACATTCACATCAAACACTGCTTTAAGATCTATAGCGTCAGGAGAATGGTGAAAGAAAGCAGCCTTTCCAAGTCCATTAGTTTGGCCAAGATTTACCATTCATCTCTTCTTTCTCTCATTCATCTACTAATTCCTCTATTTCTCTGTCATTTCATTCAGATGTTCCCAGGGCTTGTTCTTGTCCATGGGAGACTGATGTCTTGTTGGGGATTATGGCAAAGTGCCACATCTTTCTATCCATTTACATCTTGTTTTGTGGTTTGCATAGGGCTTTGCCCATTTTCTCTGTGTATGGAATGCATGTGAGAGTGTGTTTGCTCTGTTTATGTGTCTGTGTGTTGAATCTTGATCACGCTGTTTGTCTGAGAACGCTGTTACCACAGCACCGAACCCCCCCTGCAGTGGTATTTACTCCCCCAACCCCCATATCTGTTTGCCATTGCAGTGTCTTGTTCACAACCTCCCCACTTTTTCCTATTTTACCCTTGGGGAGGAACACAGAACAAGGGTGAGAAGGTTGCCCAGTTCCCACCTTTGGGCTCTCACACTCCCACAGAAACACACCCGCGCTCAAACACACTCTCAGCACATGCACAGTATCTCGCTCCATTGTCTGATTTGCATATGAGCCCAAGTAGTTCATTAATGCACAGACATACTGTGGAATTGTTCAAGTCCCTAAGATGGGGAGCCTCTAAACTCCACTGTTATTGTGTTGGAGGTTTACTGGTTGCTAGATCTCAGTCCTGCTGCTTGCCTCTTTAAGGACCAAAACACCAGCACTTGAACCCTGCTGGACACCACTCAAACCCCTTGAACACCACTCCCTCTCCCTATTTTACCCATATACCCCCTCCTTTCGCCATGCCACTTCTTCAGGGAACTCTCTGTACCCATCACTTTCTGACACCTCATTCAAGCTAACGTGGATATATTTAAAAATACATTTCTCCCCTCCCATGTGGCCCGAACTGTGCAAGCTAAAAGGGAGCTTTTTCACAGCCAGAATCTTAGCATTTTGGAAATATTTGAAAATTTGGACAAATAAGAAAGTACCTAAATAACATAACGAAAATATTAAAAGGACTGATGTATAATAGTCAGCTTGTAAACTCCTCACAAACATGCCGACATACCTCATTCAGCAAAACAATTGAAGGGCTAACTCTGTCACCTGTTGTCATCAGTGTATTTTTGTGTTTCTGCTGTCAGCAACTGCTTGAATAAAAATAATGATTTGATTAGGAGGATCACTATGGCAGTCTGTTGCCTTTATGACTCTCAATTAAACCAGTACACTATACGTCTGTGGTTAGTAAGGGTGTTGAGTGCCCAGCCATGATTTTCCTTGTCATGTTCATTAATGCCACTATCCTCACCAAATGGTGGCAGCAATGAATGTTGTTGTTTACCAACATTGATTGCATTAGAAACTGAGGGTTTTAGAGAACACTGTGATTCACATTTATCTACGTTAATGTGGTGGACAGAGCCTGAATTTAACTGAATGTTTTGATTGCCTTACTCAGCTCCACATAGTGAGAAGAATACTAAAAAACATCCATCTATCTAAAACCAGTTTTGTCTCTGTGGAATTTCACACGATTGTTCATACGGTACTCTCATTCCCTGAGGAGCAATAGAATTGCATTGTTTATGTAACTGACTCCAGCAGCATTGTAAAAGGCTTTTTATGGTGACTCTATATAGTGTTCATTGGCGTTCATAGAGAGTTTTAAAAACTAGTAGTAAGGTAACACTTTTTTAAGCCTCTACCTGAGCTGTTCTTTTGTCTGTGCTGTCCCCTCATATCCTCCTGCTGCATGTTGTGTTAAGGATCTGGCAGTGTACAGCTGCAGCCTAAGAGGGGACCGACAGTACAGTATTCTTTAGTTCTGAGTGGGGAGGAAAGTCCTTACTGCCAGGTCACATATCTGCATGGCCAGGGGAACAGCTCCATGTGTGATGGGTTTAAAAACTTCTTAGCAGTGCCAAAGCCTGGACATGGTCCTGTAGAGCAGCCTTAAAGGGTCCGAGAAGACTTGGAGTCCAGCCAGTAACAGGGGGCTGCCTGGCCAGTGTCAGACCCTCTCCTTTGTTCTCAAAGCTGGGACGCAGTGTCCCACAAAGCCTTGCTGGTTTGGCTGCTGGGTTCAGGGTTAGACGTGACATCCTGCCCCTGGCTCCTGTCCCTGGTCCTTTGGCCCTCCCTGGCCCTCCCAGGCCCTCTGATGTTGAGCTGTAGAGAGCAGAAGGTGAAGCTGTTGGAGGCTAAATGAGACCAAAGGTCCTGGCCCTTCTGCCACTCTTCTTTTTTTCACATTGCCTCTCATGTGCAGCTAAAAGTCATCTGAATGAACCGCTCTTGTGACTTGAGACAGAGTAACTGAGACTTTCTGGCTTAGAGAGCTAGATTCTCTGGCTTGTTGATATTAGCGCGGAACGTCATTTAGCATATTTGTAGCTTGTTTGGATTGATTGTGGTCAAATATGAGCAAACACTAGAAGTGTACATCCAAGTACTGCAGCCTTCCCTAACAAAAAGCCTGTCACTGCATGCTCTGTTAGATTCTGGCATCAACACATTAATGCAGATGCAGGTATAGTTTATACATTTTCTTTTAGTACCTGAGTTCAACTCTTGACATGACCTTCGTTAGCATGTTTATCTGTTAAAGTCACGTGCCTTACCCTGCACTTCAACCCACACGTTTTTCTCACCATATTTTATTCCCCTTGTCCTCCAATAACTCCACCATCCAGCTTCGGCAGCTCACAAAATGTACTCAGAGTTTCATTAGCTTTTATTTGATGAATTTCCACTTTTTATTTTTGGACAAGGAGTAAAGGATCTGTGCCACGTTGTAGCGATTTTCCATTTCTTTGCAGAAGTGTGTGTATGTATGAGCACTTGTCCATGTCGGTTTATTTTTAAGTACTGAAAAAGCAGACTTTGATGATAACAAACGAGGCGGTCACCCACTTGGCTTTACCAGTCTGCAGTACCTGGTCTTAGCAGATCAAGCACTTTTCAAGTGTGGCATACATGCACATACACACACACACTTGCAGAATACACACACAGACAGACAGAATACCCAGTTGTACCCTGTTGGTTAGGGAGTGAGAGAGTTACATGAAGTGGCTCTTACTCTTGTTATTATTGTTCACTGTGAAAGAATGTCTCACTCTGAGCCCAGGAAACCATTAAATTTTCCACAGAGAAGAAGAAAGAAGGAGTGAGCAAAATGAGTGAAAGGAGGAGGAAGAGGACAGATGGAGAGAGAAAAAAAAAAGGAGTGACAAAATGTGTGCCAAATGAGAAAAGGAGGCAAGATGAAAAGGATTATTCGTTTCCCGGCGGTACTTCACTGACTTTTAAAGAGCCCTTTTGCGGCAGCTGCACCTCCGTTTCCCTTTCAACCCAACTCCTCCTCGCCCACAAACAACAAACAGCGGTCAGTTCTCTAGCAACGGACAGCAGTTCTCCACTTGGCCAAAACTTTTGAATTGAAATTAATCC